AGGTTGCAGCTTCTAGATCATTGCTACACACCTTGTGCTCCTGTTCTCGAGCCATTCAACCTACCCACCCCTGTATGATTGTTGCGGGGCGGCAGTGCAGGTCAAGTGAAACAGGTGTGCTGTGCTCTCCCACATGATGGAAGGGTCACCAGGCCATAAGGGCACCTAGTCAAACTATATTTCAGCTAAAGACAGACTTGGAATGACAGGGGCATAGTCTTTAATGAGCCTTAGGCCCAGGGAAATAAAAGCCAAGGGCAGAAACCATTGCACTGTAATGTGTTAGAAGGCAGTCAGGACCTGTCAGAAATCATGAGCATTTTTATGAATGGGGAATATCCCCTTGTATTTCCCTGGAGTAATGAGCAACCCTTAAAACAATGACGAGTCTTATCTGCTCTCCCTGGCAAGGGATGGAGCCCAGAGGGGCAAGCCTTGGACAGAGAGGGACAACCTCTCCACCCCATTCACGCAAGATGGGCACCGGTTTACATGCTCTCCATATGCAGAGACTATGACACTCTCTACCTCTGCTTGCTTCGCTTCAGCAAACCCTGGACCTCCTATCATCCAGTGGCAAATATCCTCTAACCACGCGTTCTTCCCTTCCTGGTCCTCCTGCTTTCACTGAGCTTATTCTTTGCCTTTCAGTCCACAGCCCCAGGTTCTTCTCTCAGCCCCTCCTAGCCCTTACTTCCTTCCCACTTCCATCCGTATCTGCCCTAGATTCTATAGTTTATCACTTTGACCATTCTTATCCCCCACCCCTCAATCTTGTTACACTTTTGCCTGCCTTTTTCAGTTGGCCTGCAAAATCTCAGCCCACACCAGGGCCAAAGAGTTCTGCTGAGAAAAACCCACAGTTACAGACGGCAGCCACCAGTATTGCATGAACTGCCAGCCCTCAACCCTGGAACTCCATTCCACTACTTCCTCCATATTGCTAACAGACTTCCTCCACCACCTTCTTCGCCCAGGAAACACCCATGGAAGTCAGCCTCTGGTTATTGCGTGCCACACGACGCCTCCTCTTAACACTTGAGTATCTTTAGAAGTAAAAACACCTCATACACATTATAGTGAACCTTCACAGCCCACCCCGATTTCTAGATGAGAAAACACATTCAGAGAGGTTATGAGGTTTGCCTAAGGTCACAGAGCTAGTAAATCACAAATCACCCCGCTGGACACACCTGTAGCCTGTCCCTTATTCATACTGCATTATCTAAAAATGGTGAGCTCCCTTAGGGCAGGGACAGTGTCTGACACATCGCAATGAGGAAACTATCGTACTCAGTGCTCAGTATTGAGTGACAACCACGAGACTCAGGAAGGAGGGGAAATTTCAGGTAACAAATTTTCAGCAGAAATACCTTTTATCCCTCAAAATTAAGGGAAGCAGGGTATCAAGAACATACCTACTTGTGGTTAACAGTGGGTTCTGGAGCCCAACTGCCAGGATTCAAATCCTGGCTGCCTTCCTGTTTTCTGGTTATGAGGCTCTTCGGTCAGTTATTTAACCTCCTTGGGCATTTTCCCTTGCCTGTAAAATGAGATGTAGAATTCCTGCATTGACCCTGGCTAGTATGGCTCAGTAGATTGAGCACTGGCCTTTGAATCAAAGGGTTACAGGTTCAATTCCCAGTCAGGGCACATGCCTGGGTTTCGGGCCAGGTCCCCAGTAGGGAGGCATGTGAGAGGCAACCACACACTGATGTTTTGCTCCCTCTCTCCTTCCCTTCCCCTCTCTAAAAATAAATAAGATCTTGAAGTAATTCTTACATTGCAGAATCACATGCAGATTTCAGAATAATGCAAGTGCTTACTGGGGTGACTGACACCCAGTAAAAGCACTCAATAAACTTTAGCAATTAGTGGTAACTTGGTACTCATTAATTCATTCAGGAATTCATGACAAGTGCTGAAACTGACAAGTACCGAATGATGAAGCATCTTTTCTTGTGGGGCAGCATCATGACTCATACAAATTGTAGCAAGTGCAATGACTTCTGAGCAAGTGCAAGTGCTGAAACATTTTTTTGTCAAAATGCGACGAGTAAAGGATTTCACAAGTGCTGAAGCCAACGAGTACCAAGGTATGACTGTATCATCTTCATCAGCAAAGGAAGTGTATGAACTACCATGCAAGTCACAGGACATTGTTCCCAGCCCCTAAACAGGACGGGGTGCTGGCTTTAGAGTCAGATAAGATGGGTTTGAATCAGTTCTTTTTCTAGTTGAGTGACCGTGAACAAATGACAATCTCCACAAATCTCAATGTTCTCCTAAGTAAAAATGAATACACATACCTCATAGGATTTTTGTGAGGGTTTAAATCAAGCGAGGGCCTATCAAGTACCTGGCATATACCATGTGCAAACTTAACTAGCTATTATAACATTGTTGAGAAAGTTATTAGACACACCCTTCTGGAAACACTGGAACTGGATTAGTGGAGAGATTGAGGCAGATTCTGGGACCTGCTTCACCAATCCAAGCCTGAGGGCACTGCAAGTAACACAGGGAGTTGACCCATGATAAGATGTGTCTGCCACCAGGCTTTTTGCTTCTTGACACTAGCTACTGTTTTATTAGTCCCAATCCTCCAGCTCTTGCCATGAGTAAACTCCTCAGGGTGAGAATGAAAGGGTTCTTAGAGGTGGTGGTGTAGTCCCCCTCACTTGCCAGACAAGAGTGCTCAGTGGATCGATAATGCAAGCAGCCACAGGTACAGCCACCTTGGCTAAGGTTCAGGTCTTCAGATCCCTGTCTAGTAGCTCTCACATTATTCCATACTACACTTCAGTGATGGGCAGTGACTGAAATCTTTAAAAGGCTTCGTTCCAGTGTTCATGAGTAAGTGGAAGAAATGTGCTTAGCCTCAGAATCTACTGCTAAGGCCAGGAACTTGTTCCTCAGGGGAGAGGACAGCAAGAGGCTATCCAGAGAGGAAGGGAAACTGGAGACAACCAATGTGTGCCCCAACAGGTTCAAGGGCACCAGCCCCAAAAAGAGGGGAAAGCTAGATCAGTGTCCATCACTTCACAGTTGTAAGAAGGGTGCTTTGACCATGTTTCAAGTTGTGCGCACACCAGGGGCTTCCTGGTTCAACACTTCCAACAGAATGTGATGCTAAGTGGACAATGGCTGCCACTATTGTCATAAGCACCAGACCTCAAAGACTGAGGATAAACACCACCTCACCTTATCAAAAAGAATAATTACTGGAGTAGAACATGTTTCAAGATTGGAAACTTAATCTTTATAGGCAGGTCAGAACACTGATTTTGCCATGCACAGTAAGTGATGTCATGAAGAATATATATAGGAGAGTGTATATAGGAGAGTCCAATCACTGCCTGAGCACACATGCAAACTTTAAAAGGCAAATGTGTTTTCCTCATCCATGGCAAGCACCAAAAATGAGGTTTAAAAGGGCTAGGGGAGGATTGGGGAATGACTGTGTAAAGGGTCTGGGGTTTCTTTGTAGGATGATGAAAAATGTTCTGCAGTTAGTGCTGAGAGCTGCACAACACTGTGAACATACTGAATGCCACTGAATGGTGACTTTTGTGAATTTCATCCCAGTAAAAAGAAAGGTATTTTAATCACTACCCTCAAGTGTAAGTCAGAACCATCCAGGGGAAGAGTAACAAAACACTGAACCAGGTGCAGGAAGACCAGAGTTTTAAAATTCACATCTTAATGTCCCACAACTGGAACTGTCAAATCACCAACTAGCTGAAGAGGAGCATGAGGGGATTTGATTACTACTTATTCAACCTGCTAGTTGCCTGTGCTCATGGCTTAGTTAACAATTGGTGTCACCACACCAGTACACTTTTGTGTTATTATAACGAAAACAAAAGTTTATTTCACAGAGCACACATTTATATGGAGGTATAACAGTGTTTCAAGACGTGATGCACAGAAAACTCTCAGAAATACCATTATTAGGACGATTGTCTCTGCCTTCTAAGTAAAAGACCTAGTGTATAAAAATAGTTTTTAAATCTAAGGCACCAAGCTCTAACCTGTAACAAAGGTACAGTACCCTGAATAACAAAAAGAGTAAGAAAGAATAACTACTTCCTTTTACTAATCCAACATTGGTGACTAGAAAATAATGTGGGCCTGTTTTGGACTATTTGTGCCTCACCACAAAAGTCACTAGCATTAGGACAACTAACCTGCATTTAAGTTTTAGTCAATGGTTTGAATTGGGACTCCATGCATTTTGGTCAACATATATCCTATGTGTGTGAGTACATGTGTATGTCTATGTGCCCAGCTACCACAAGGACTGAGTAATACACGGCTCCTGTATTTACTTGCAGCCAATGGCTACAGACAGGCAAGCAAATTTTGGTCCCATATCCCATGCCAGAGTGTATACTGAAGGGCAGGACTGGAGAGCATAAACAGAAAAACATTATACAGTGTAAACATTTGGAGAGATTAAACATACCCCACCACACAACAACCAAATACTGCCTTATGTACACAATAAAAATAATACACATTTCTGGAGATAAACCTCAACAGGTACTTCAAAAGGAAATACTGACAAGAACACAAAGATGCTAATTGTTCCAAGATCATGCTCTCTAGGATTCCCAGCATTTAGAGGTATCAGTGCTTGTGTACCCAGCTGGCAGGGTTAGAAATACACATACATAAAGATAAAATATGCTTTCCTCTCTTTTGCAACTGTTGGTGTTGTCACATTAGAAATAAACCAACAAAGCTCTTGTGAGCAACCTTGAGTCCCTCACATAACCCGTTATGTTCAGTACAAGATCAAACAGACATTTTTAATTACTAAAATACTGTAACTGTTAAATACAATAAACATTATTTTAAACATTATTTCAAATATGTACTGACAGAAAATTATTCTTTTAGAAGTTCAAGAAGTACTATTTTATAAAAACACCCGTGATGCACACTCAAATACGTGTTGGCAGGAAAATACAAACATGAGAGACCATGGAGACAAAAACACTATTTACTCAGAACCCTTTCTTATGCACAAGATTCGAGATGAAATGAGGGAGTATCTTCTCAGATCTGCTAAAATGACTTATTTGGTGTTTTCCTTTCTTGGAATGGTTCTTTTCTTTGCCTGGTTCAGGTGGAAGTGGAGAAATTTTGGGTGACGGGCCTGGAAGTTGAAACCCAGCATGGAGGATAAATTTTTTTCCAGGCTTCATGAGGTTTAAATATCTGGCCAGAGGGAAGAAGAAAAGGAAGGTTAGTAGAGAAGATGCTGGTCTCACAGCAACTGGGCCTTGGCCTTCCTTTGTTCGGGGTGGGCCAGGGACCCTCAGTAGCCACCTGGAGATGCTGACACACTGGTGCTTTTAGAAATGTTCTCCATATCTGCAACCTCCAGATGAGCCCGTGCTGCCTGTGAATTTCAAAGAGAGCACTCAAGGATAGAAAGCCAAAGGTATTTTGGTTTTGGAAACACAGGTTGACAGGCAAATTCCACAGACCTCACAAACCCTCTGCCCTAAGTGATAATCTGCATGCTGTCAAGCAGTCAGTGGATCAGGAGCTCAGAGGAATCGGAGGGATCTATCTGGGGTGTGAAAAGAACCTACTTTGTATTATCTGGCAGAACATAAAAATTAGAATCAAGTCATTTACTCTCTAAAAACTAACTTGATGGAAGACTCTTGGACATCAACTTAACTTTTAAACCCACCACTGTCTTCCCCCTCACCTCCAAAGTTACATGGTGCCAAGATGGCCCTGGAACAGCAGGAAGTAGAACTGTTCAGGGTCACCTGCCTTGCAAACAAAATGAAGATGAGATAAAGACTTACCTGATGAAGCAGAATCAGATTTGTCTCTATCTTTGTCTTCTAAAGGTATCTGGGAACTTCGGTAGAATGTTAGGGAACCTTTCAAATAGTGCTTTTGGCTATCAGGAAGAATATCAGACTCGAGTGGCTCAATCTCACTGGTGATATCTAGTATTTGGTCATGTGTACTTTCCTGTGTCATTGACTGTAAACTTTCGGGTGGTTCCATGGTGTTGCTGCTTTCCCCAGCCTTTTCAGTTTTTGTTACTTGATTCATAATTGTGTTGGTGGATAGCCTGGAAGAAGATGTTTTTGTTAGAATCCTAATCACCCCCAAACCAGGGCTTTGTCCCGAATGAAATCTCAAACTTTAATTAACTTTTAAGAAATGAATGCCTTGGAAGTAAATGAACTTTCAGAATGATAAAATGGGAAGGCTGGAAGGGACCCTGGAGATCACAGAACACACTGGGTTTCAAGCTGTGTCCTATGAAATCCTAGGTTTCACATACATGCTGAGGGACTCAGAGCACTTAAGTGTGAAGGCTCCAAGAACCCCGTGCCTACAGCAAGCTGACCCGGAACATGGCCAGTAAGGTGGAGTGAGGGCTAACGTGGGTTTTCTAGGTCCAGTGCTCTTTCCACACCATCACTATGCCTCTTAGCAAAGTGTTTTCATGGGCCTTGTAGGTTAATGTCTTTCAGCTAATCACCCTAAGAGCTAAGAGCCTTCCTTTCTTAGAATCTGTCCCCACTCTTCAGACATAACCTCTGGCTATCAGTTTCTCCATATGTAAAATGAGGTCATCAATATGGAACTCAGAGGTGCAATGAGAATTAAAACAGGTCATATAAAATGTCTCATATATAGCCGTCACTCAATCAATGACCCCCCCCCTTCCCTGATTTTACGAGACAACATTAACCTGTGTGAACAAAAGCACAGTTTGGAGTCAGATGTATCTGGGTGTGAATTTGGGCTCTTCTCTGGAATAGTGGAATATTGCATAAATAAGCCACACAATCTCTCCATGCCTCATTCTCCTTATCTATAAAGAAGGGGATGCTAATCCTTACCTAACGAGACTGTTGTGGGTTATCAGTTTGTTTCTGTAAGACAAGTGCTTGACACAAACTAAGAGCTCAGTCAATAATCTCATGTGTCGTTCTAAGAATGTCAATCATAACGCCACCAAAGTTTACTCTGATAAGCTCACCGAGTAACTCACCTGATACCCTTGGCCTGAGCCAAAGGGTCTTTCACCTTTTGTCTTAAGTTTTTCACGTCACTTTTTAAAGATGTTTTTTTCACTGAATAAACTTTGTCGGAATTGACATCTAAAAACAGCAGCCTGGGTATGCGCTTCACATTTCTAAAGCTTGCCTTCATTTTTCTAAATGGACTCACACCACTGGTACTGGCTATAAAAAAAGGAGTAAGATGAAAACGGAAGTTTCTACAACAAAGACAAGAATGAAGGCTGTGAAAAGGACGTCTTTCTGATGGCAGGAAGAGTCACGGGCAGTGACTCTGGAGAGGCAGGCCTGGCAGCCCAGAACACCCGTCCACCCTGATCTCAGAGCACAAAGCGGCCACCTTTAAGAAACTTGCCCCCTCTCCCTTGGCAGGAAAGAATGCCAGGCGAGAGGACGAGACTGTACCATCCTCCTTATCCCTCCTCCTGATCGCCCACCCAGCCAAATCCCGCCTCCTATTTCAGTCTCACCTCCAGTGCTGCCTCGTACCCTTTCCAGTGCCTTAAGACAGACTCTACACCTACCCTGTTCCTACTGTTATGTTCTCATTGCATTGTAGCCAAACTTCTTTTAATGCAACCACTTTGTGGCAGTATCCCTGTTTGCTTATGTGTCTTGCCTCCCTGCTGGCTATGGTTCCTGAAGGATGAGGGCCCTGTCTTCATCTTTCTCCTTGTACCTAGTAGAGGACCTGATTTGTGTGTGGGATAAAGGATAGACAAAGAGTGTTTTCTCAGATACCAATTACTGATGCCATAAAGTGGCTCCTACCTCATAAGGAAATCAATGACACATTTTCCAGGGCACTCATAATCATGACATTATTTTAATTTTTCTCAATGATGTAGAAAGGAGCATTCCCCCTGTGGCCAATCATGGATACCTCAGAAGGCCCTGGGCTATGAAATGTTAGTATTCACACTCAGCTGAGAAGGAGCTGCTATCTACAGTCTTTCAGCACAGTCTGTAAAATAACAATAGCTGCAGAAGCAGCAACTAATATTTACTGGGAGTTCGCTATATATCAGACACTATTCTCTTAGCATTACAGAGATTATCTCACTGAAATCTCTTGGCCACACTCGGAGGACAATAGCTTGCTTCCCCCTTTTCACACAGGAAAACTGGGCACACACAGAGATTAATTTGCCCACAGCCACACAGGTCAGAAGCAGAGGAGTCCCTGGATGAACCTAGGCAGTCTAGCTCTTATATACTGACTAAGAAAACTCAAAAGGCAAGCAAACCTGGTAGATCAAAATAATCCGCATCATCACTCTCAGACTCATCCTCATCATCTGCCTCATGTTCCTCATATATGTCAGTGCCGGCTGTTGGTGAAACCTATGATGAAAAAAGAAAATCAAGGTTAAATAAATATTCGATCATCCTAACTTGGTTCTTTCAAAGAAGACCGATTTCAATTAAAAGATTTTTAAAAATCTACTCTTTGGGCCCAAGAATCTATAGGACATAGGACAGATGGCTCTAGTGGTGTCTTTCAGGTAGGGAAAGACACTCAAGAATGAAAGACTTTCCTGAGTGGGAGCCAAGGGACAAGAGCTTTGGGTTGGCATGTACTCTCTCCCCACTCAGAGTTCGAACTAAGGCAAGGTGGGGACAGTTGGTGAATAACTGCACAAGTTCTTGGCTACTGCTTGAGGTAAACTTCTCAGGCCAATGGGTTAAATGATCTTTGAGATGGTGTCTCCCAGAACTTCTCAGAAATGGTTATTTCTATTCTAAATTGTCATGATATGAATGACCACAACCGGGTAATGGTAAACAGGCATAGCATGAGTTTTGTAGCACAGAAAGTAAAGGACATAGAATCTGGAGAAAAAAGGCCTCGAATGCCTGTGATCCATCAAAAGATAAGGACACTTAGGCAAGTATTTATGAGACAAATTCCCCAAAGCAGTAACCATATAGGTAGAATCTGCTGAGTTTGAGTTTAGTCAAAAGAACTTCTGTCCACCACAAGACATTATGTCAGTGTTGGACAAACTACAGCATGGGGGCTGATATCTGCAATACATATATCCAAAGGGCTCATAACCAAAGCAGGTAAAAACTCCTGCAGATCAATCAAAAAGGCAGGCAACCCAACAAAAACATAGGCCAAGGACTTAAAAAAGCACTTCACAAAACGAAATATCCAAATGGCCAGTAAGCATATGAAAAGGTAGCCAAATCCATTAGTCATCAAAAAATATCGATAAATTCAACAATGTGAAAATGAAGACAGCATTAAGAAAAGACAAGGCCGTAAGGTGGGAGAAGCTATCGGCAACACATATAACCAAGAGAGAAGCAGAATCTGGAACATTTACAGAACTCCAAATTAGTAAGAAAAAGACAAATCAGCCCCACAGTTCTGGGCCAAATACCTAAATAAGCATTTCACACAAGAAAACAAAAAACAGGAAAGCTAACTAAAGACCTGAAAAACTTGTTCAACCTTTTTAATAATCAGGGAAATGCAACAAAATACTCTGTTTTATTACCACCAGATTGGCAAAATGAAGAAGAATGGGAAGCAACAGGAAATATTGTACACTGCTGGGAGGAGCACGGAGATTACCTTCGAGGTATTCAAATTTGTCTTTCTGGTCCGCTTCATAATTTCCTCAAATCTCTAAAGAAAAACACAATTTCAAACATGAAAACATTAAATACAAAACAGTGGTCCCAAAGAAGGTGATTATGTCCATTTTCCAGAAGTAGATAGTATCAGTAGCTGCTCCAAAGCCACAGACTTAATGGACACAAGACCTTGGACAACAGTTGGGTTCCTTCTTCCAGTCCAGGTCTCAGTCATCTAGGAAATACCTGGAGTGGTGATAACTGTACTTGTTACAGCAACACAGAAATCCAAATGATTCCTCACTCTTAATTTTTCAGACTCTGAAACTTATTACTTAGAGTAAACACACATTATTACAAAACAATTAGAATTTTTAAACATAATTTTAGTCCGAATAGACCATATCTGAGGCTGATGTTAATGAAAAGAGTGTACCCTGGTGCAAAATTGTCAGAGCTTTTGTTACTAGAAAAAGCACACGCATATGAGGGATAAGAATTTCTTTTCCCAGTGTACAATTCTTCCCTTATTAAGTGAGAACTGCAGCTCTCTGGCCTCCTCAGGGTGACGAATCTGACAGAGGCCATGCAGCACCTCAGCTAGGGCCAATTCCCTTCCTTGCTCCCAGATGAGGCACACGAGTTACACATGTGAGTGAGGTCCTACCATAAAAATCGCCTGTACCTTGGCCTCTCAGAAAGACCTGCACTTTCTGCTTCTTCCCACTCAGTCGCTACAATTTCTAGCCCAAATTAGAAGAAAACCAAATTTCCATCAACCCCTACCATGATCTGAGTAATGGTCAAAGCAGCTTTGTTCCTAGAGGTTTGCTACATTGAGGCATCACTCTAATGGCCACCATGGTCCATGAGGGAGAGGTATGGTCACTAAAACAAGACCCTGCTAGGTAGGAGAGGTCAGGTCCTTGGATAAGGAAGAAGACAGTAGCATGGTAAAAACAACCAGGGCCTGGCATATCACTGACTTGTGATTTTCAAAAACATGTTTTGATATCATGTGTAAAACATTGTTTTAAACAAAGAATCAAATCCCCAAAACAAAGACAGAAAGAGCAATTACCTTTTTTCTTTCTGATCTTTCTGGTAAATTCCATAATACATTTTTTTCCTGTTCCTTCTGGCATTCGTTGGCCTCCTCCTGAGCTTTTATTTGGCTGTCCCCTTTCTAGGAAATTTGTATAAAAATGTTTCATCTCAATATATCTGAATGACATCAGTCACTACTTTTAAAATTTAAACAATAAGTTGTTATACAGCATAACAAGAACATAACCTTTTGATTAAGAGTGCTGATAACATATATGGATTATCAGTTTTCAAAGCATTAGCTAAAATGTACAAAACTAGGCTAACTAATATCTTGAGCATTTAGAAGGTATGTGATAGTCCCCTCCAGAAACTCAGGGTTATCATTAACAGTTTCAAAGAATGGAAATGATTGCATAGCTATCCATTAACACAGCAATAGGACTCGAGTCTTACACTTCTCATAAGCACCAAGAAGATTCTTAAAGGTACCTTCTCCAGGAATGCAAATGTATACAATCATTTATGTAACATGACTGATTTTGATAAGTGATACACTAAAAGTGGAATGTAAATTAGGCTATTCAAACTGAGCTTAGTTTGGGGAATTATTTACCTGGTGATTTGAATTTACATGGGTTAGACATTCTTATTGGTGAATTGATGACTTTAAACTTTTAGAGGTATTTATAATTTCTATGTTTATCTGTTGGGTAGATATGGGGTGCAATTTTGAGTGTCACCACAGAATGCAGGGTTGGGAAAATTCTACATTTAGGATGTTTAATCTGTGTGAGTGGTTTGGATTCCCTGAAACCAAGTTGCAATATTGTTTATGTGGACAAGCTAAAGAACTTCTTCTAATCTGTAATTTGCTTTCTGCTTTTGTTTCCCTTGGTAAACACTCTAGGATTTTGCCAAGAGTGGCTGGGAGTGACTTACAGCGATATGGGGTTATTAGCTCCCTAGACTGAAATGTAAAAATGCAGCCACAAAAGGCAGCATCTGCTCATCTTCCTTCTTGGAGATTTACATTTTTGCTTTGGGTTTCAACTGAATTTTATAACCTAGTTCTCATCCCCTGATAAAGTGCAGAGCCAGCAAACCTGTAATAGCATTTTCTGGTTTTGTTGGTCCTGACATCTTTTCTTCTTTGTTATTTTCTTTTGCCGTTGCCCATTGTCAAATTTTGAGAACACTTCTTGGCCTTCAACTTCTTTCTTTGTCACGTCTATCTCTTTCCTAATGACACAGAATATTTAAATAACTCTTGGTATTTGTTTTAGTCTCTACCATACACAGCTTGCAGTAAGTACAATTTATATCTATACCAGATTCACTACATTTTCTGTGTTTTTACTCCACATGATTTTCACAATTTCACCCTTTTTAAATGGGGGACACTAGCCCTTGGGAGTAGAAGATTTCATCGAGTGGTGGGCTACTTTGTATCTTAAAACACAAGAGAGACAGAGGAAAGACAGAATATCACTCCTCCTTAACTGTTTCAGACACATGGGACTCTATATTTACACATGCTAACACCTGGTATTACATGGGGGTGTGATAGGGGTTATTTAGAGGAGGGTCTGGTAGTGCCCAGAGATAGAAAGCCCAGTCCACAAAGATCAGTATTTGCCACTTTTAAAATGCAAAATCAGGTCCGTTTACATAAGGCAATGAATAATTGTCTTCAAATTATAGTTTTTTGCTCTTCACAATATTTCCTTCTCCTTTTTCCCAAAGCCTTATAAAGTATATGGAAGGCATGTGACTATACTTACAAAACACTTAATATTTAAAAACAAACTCAGGCCCTGGCTGGTGTGGCTCAGTGGACTGAGTGCCGGCCTGTGAACCAAAGGGTCACCGGTTCAATTTCCAGTCAGGGCACATGCCTGGGTTGTGGGTTAAGTCCCCAGTAGGAGGCATGCAAGAGGCAACCACACACTGATGTTTCTCTCCCCCTCCCTTCCCCTGTGTAAAAGTAAATAAATAAATAAATGAATGAATAAATAAAATCTTAAAAACAAAAAGTCAGTCAGAGGACAGAGGTTTATATTCCAGGGTCCCAACTAGAATGGGCCTCAAGATGGAGGATCAAGAGCCCTGGCTGGTGTAGCTCAGTGGATTGAGCATGGGCTGCAAACCAAAGGGTCGCTGGTTCGATTCTCAGTCAAGGCACATGCTTGGGCTTCAGGCCAGGTCCCCAGTGGGGGCCATGTGAGAGGCAACCAACACTTATGTTCCTCTCCCTCTCTTTCTCCCTCCCTTCCCCTCTCTAAAAATAAATAAATAAATGTCTTTAAAAAAAGATGGATGATCAAGAAAGCCTCTAATTGAGTCAGAATGCACACAACTGTATGAGACATCTGCTGCCCAAAGGAAATCCTTCCACCAATGACTGACTGATGAGATTCAGGTGTCCCATAGGTCACCGGAGAGCACTGTTATGAAAACACAAAAAAGTATACATTCTAGGTTTACAAATTGTAAAGTTACAAAAGACTCTTGAAAAAGACAGGAGCTGACACTAGTGAATGCCAACAGAAACAGTCTTGTGTAATCACTGAGTGCCATCACTCTGGGGCCATCAGTGAGATCTGGGATCCTGACAGGAGTTTTGGTTTCTGTATGTGTCTTCACGGCACACCTTCAAGGGAAACAATGCATGAAGGCAAAAGGGGCCTATACCATTCATCTACACACCCGTGTCCTCTTTTTGCTTGACATGCTTCCCACACTCATTTCTGATTCACGCTGAAGAAAAAGTCAATCACTGTCTGAGAATTCGTAATACATCTATTTTGAGGGTAAGTTTTGCCTTTCAAACTTTAGACCCACCCAAGATTGATAGCATAGAAAGGATGACACTGTGCTGACCTTTGCTCCATTTCTTTTTGTAGTTTTTCTTCTTTTTCTCTTTGTTCATGAGCAAGGTGTTGTTTTGCTGCCAAAATGTTTGTTTCCTCCTCAGCACTCATAATCCCTTGTGAGCCTTTACGTGCAGACTCTAGTTTAAATTCACATGTGGAACAGTTAGTTCAGGGAACTTACTACCTCTCAGTCCAATAAAGAGGGGTAAGACAACCAAAACCAAAAAAACAGTATGCATATATGGTCTAAAATTTATAAAAAGTGATCTGTGACTATGTAACACATTATGTTCAAAACCCCAACTCCCCAACAAGTAGTATCTTTTCTTTTTAATAACTACTTGTTCTAAAATGAAATGATATACTCTTCCCTCCTACTTTGATTTAGCTCTTCTGATACCTTACTAAATGGACCCTATGGGAAAAAAGACTCATACTGAATATAGACAAAATCAAACTTATATTCAGTCTAAATGAAGTGTGCAAATCTTAAATACTTGATTAAATGAAAACACATCCAGCATACATTTTAAAATTTTTTCATCATTTTTACTAAATAATTACTGTTTAGCTCACCATTAATAATAGTGTATTACAATATTTGATTGCTCATAAAGTAGGTAACTATAGATAGCCAAAGAAACAAAGAGTATCATATCAGTAACATAAGGTGATAGCATGAATGTATGATAATATTTAATCCATATGATTAATTTATTTTAAATAAAGCATGTATGAACATGAGAGTTGTTCTAGAATGAATTTATAGTAAGATTGTTCCTGTTAGAAAAATTCACTGTGAAATTCCTTCAAAAAGCAACATTCCTCAATGTATATTTAAAATTAAGCAAAAGCCCTGGCTAGTGTGGCTCAGTGGATTAAGCACCAGCTTGAGAACCAAAAGGTGACCAGTTCAATTCCCAGCCAGGGTACATGCCTGGGTTGTGAGTCAGGTCCCCTAGTTGGGGGCGTTCGAGAAGCAACTGATCGATGTTTCTCTCCCTCTCTTTCTCCTTCCCTTCCCCCTCTCTAAAAAATAATTTTAATTAAGTAATATCTCTAAATATTAACAACACATGTGACAAGCAAAATATCAATATGGTACTTTCAGGAACCCACATACTGCCCAGACACGTTACGGCTTACGTATGGCCACTGACCTACAGGTCCTGATGGAAACTTGTTCAGCCATTCCTAGAACCACGCACTCTCAGAGCTGGAAGGGACTGCAAGGATCACCTAGGCAATATGTTCACTTAACCCGTACTTGAAACATCAGTTCCAAAAACGGATTTCCCAAAAACAATAAGGGAATAAGGGTAAACAAAGTCTGACAAGGAGAAGTAAGCAGTGTGCCAGTGATTGGTTAAATCCTCTATCTAAAAGAAAGCTTGCTCCTCGAGTTACCTGGATTAGAAAATAAAGTTGACCATTCCCATATCTTAACATTTGCTATGTTGCCAAAATATAAACTCAGTGAAGGAACTTACCTTCATCGGTCACGTGCTCTTGGCTCAGAGTCTCAGAGCTGGTAGTGGTTTTAGAAACTGATTCTTTTTTCCTCTTGATGGTATCTAATACATTTTGTGCACATAGGTCATACTGAACAGGAAGTGCTTTACAGGAAGGAGAAGGTTGTACTGGCTGTTCTGCCATGACCAGAAAAAAGGATGGTGGATGACTCTTTTGGATTTGCCTACTGAGAAAAAGTTATAGTTAATGGGAAAAATCTGATATGATTTTGTAATTCACATGTGCCAATTAATTCTCATTTACTATTTCATAAAGTGTGTTATAAGATCACGATATTTAAGCCCTGGCTGGCGTAGCTCAGTGGACTGAGCGCGGGCTGGGAACCAAAGTGTCCCAGGTTCGATTCCCAGCCAGGGTACATTCCTGGGTTGCAGGCCATAACCCCCAGCAACCGCACACTGATGTTTCTCTCTCTCTCTCTCTCTCTCTCTCTCTCTCTCTCTCTCTCTCTCTCTCTCTCTCTCCCCCCTCCCTTCCCTCCCTAAAAATAAATAAATAAAATCTTAAAAAAAAAAGATCATGATATTTTATAATAGACAAACCCTTTGTCTATTAGAGGTTTTTTTATATTTACATTACTATATATACTATATTATTTCAATTCTGAAACACTGACATAAAATTTACCCTGGAAAAATACATATCAGAAACACTGCAAATAAGCTACTTACTTAGCACTGAAGGGATAGGATGAACACCATCCACTTGCAGATGGCCATCTAGAAATTGGTACCTGTGTCAATGGGCGCTTCTTGTTGGGGTTTGATTTCTGCAGAGATCAATACAATCAGATAAGAAATTACTAGCAATAACTTACTACAGCTGGCTTTTCTCTCTAAGAGAAAAATATTCTGAATAATACACAATTATAGTTCCTTAAAACTCCTAATTATGAGAACTAGTTACAGAGATATGTTCTTTCAGACTAAGAATTTATATTACACAATTCAAGCAGACAATAGAAACAGTTAATTTAAAAGAAATCTTTTACTTGAAAGCCTAATTCTATTTCTAAATCCTAATTTAAATGTTTGCAATATTTCTCAAATTTTTTTTTCTTCAGAGTTTAAAAGCACAGTTCATATAAACTCTTACATCTTCTCCTTTCTACTAAAAATTAGTATTTCACCTTTGGGGGTTATGGGTACAAGGAATATCAGAAATTTAGATCATCAAAGTGAGTTATCCTATTTTATTATTTTTATTGCTGAATGCTATAAATCATAAGTTGTTTATATTGGGAAACTTGACCTATCACATCATCTTACAAACAGATTTTAATAGAAGATTAGTCAATAAGTAGCACTTGACAAACCTGTGGAGTGTCTCTAACTTTCACCTTGGAAGATGTTTCCACGCTCACTGCAGGGCATGACTCAGGGGGTACTTTCACATTTGCTGTAGCAGGTTCCTCCATGTTCTCCTCCGGGATTGTTTCTAAGCTTTCCTCACGAATCATTTTCATGTTAGCCTTGTGGAACAATTCCATGGTTTCCTCAGCTGAGGTTTCCATGCTCACCTCTGGAGGTGAGTCGAAGCTCACCTCAGAGGACGAATCCATGCTTACTTCAGGGGATGGATCGACGCTCACAAGAGACACATCCTCGCTCCCCACAGGTGATATTTCAACGCTGTCAGACAGTGTTTCCACACTGACTTCTGGGAATGCTTCCATACTCACCTTGAGGGTTGCTTCCACACTCGCCTCAGCCTCGGGGGCCACTTCTGGACTCCCCTTGGGGGCTGCTTCCACATTCGCCTCAGCCTCGGGGGCCACTTCTGCACTCCCCTTGAGGGCTGCTTCCACACTCGCCTCAGCCTCAGGGGCCACTTCTGCACTCCCCTTGAGGGCTGCTTCCACATTCGCCTCAGCCTCGGGGGCCACTTCTGCACTCCCCTTGAGGGCTGCTTCCACACTCGCCTCAGCCTCGGGGGCCACTTCCGAACTCCCCTTCAGGGCTGCTTCCACACTCTCCTCAGCCTCGGGGGCCACTTCTGCACTCCCCTTGGGGGCTGCTTCCACACTCTCCTCAGCCTTGGGGGCCACTTCTGCACTCCCCTTGGGGGCTGCTTCCACACTCTCCTCAGCCTCGGGGGCCACTTCTGCACTCCCCTTTGGGGCTGCTTCCACACTCACCTCAGCCTCGGGGGCCACTTCTGCACTCCCCTTGAGGGCTGCTTCCACACTCGCCTCAGACTCAGGGGCCACTTCTGTACTCCCCTTTGGGGCTGCTTCCACATTCGCCTCAGCCTTGGGGGCCACTTCTGCACTCCCCTCAAGGGGTGCTTCAAGGCTCACCTTGAAGGGTGTTCCTTTTTTTTCCTGGGGAGATATTGCCACTGTTGACTTGCAAAAAAGCTCTATGGTATTCTTTAATTCATCCCTGTTAGGGATAAGTAAGGGCATGTTTGTATACTGCATTACAGGGTTGTGAACACCTATGGGTGAGGAGAAAGAATAAAATTTCAGTTAGAAATTTCACAACACAGAAATGCACCTATTCTCCAGAATAGGAAGAGAGGAGAAAGAGAGGCTATGTTGAGAAGGAAATGACAAGGATTACACACATCACTGAAGTGCTTAGTGAAATGAATCACATACACAGCATGGAAGCATGGCAAAATTGGTACACTTTTAAGCACCACCACCAACAGAATCACTGTGAAAGCAATAATCCATTACACATGAAGATAAGCTGCTTCTCCAAATTGATGTTTGCAATAGCCATTTCTATTTTAGTCACACTATAGCTCAGAATGATTTTCATAGAAAATTGCAAGATATTCTATACTTTTTAAAAAGTACTACTTCACCAGGGCCAGAGAAGTTACTGTTACAGGTGATTATGTATGGCACTCTATACATGATCGTTACAGAGTAGAATGTAAAGAAGAACATTTTGATAACCATACTAAAAATGGTACATTTGCAATAACATGGATGAATCTTGAAAGTATCATGCAAAGCAAAATAAATATGATGGGAAAAGGATAAGAACCATGTGATTTCACTCGTGAGATATAAAACAGGAAGCAATAAATGAACGAATAAGTAAACAAAACATCTCATTGCAGAGACAAAAGTATGGTGGTTACCAGGAGGGAACATGGGTGAGGGAAAGTTGAGGAGGGTAAAGGGAGTCAAATAAATGGTGATGGAGGGAGATTAAACTGTGGATTATAAGCACACAATGCTTTGTACAGCTTATATATTACAGAATTGTACATTAGAAACTTATTAAACAATCTCATCCCAGTAAATTTAATTTTTAAAAATTGAAATAAGATGTTAATCAGAATGGGCTGGATCTCCAAGGTCTCTTCCAGCTTTAATGATCTAAATATTTTTTTGCCTAATAATGAACAAAAATGATAATACTTGGTACCAATTTTGGGAACCAGGCAACTTCATAAACTGCTGGTGGGAATGTGAATTTGCATAAGCTCCCTGGGGATCATTTTTGGGAATAATATATCAAAAAGCATTTTAAAAAGTATATACTATATTTGTTGCAGCAAATTTACTTCTAGGTTTATACTTAGGAAAAAAACAAGATAGATAAAAATGTATTTATAAGGTTACTTGGAGCATTTTTATAATACTGAAATAATAGAAAATGTAATGCAATTATTCAACAAAAAATTTGGACTATAGTAAGGCAGTCATTAATAGTATACAATTTTTGGACATAAAAGTAATATATATTAAGTTTAAACAAAAGCAGGTTATGATCCTATTTTGCAAAAATAACACTAAGAAAAATATGTAGTTAAACATTTATTAAAAGGTAATTGGTGGTAGCTTTCTTGTAACATGGTAAATTCGCCTTGGCTGGTGTGTACCACTGGACTGAGTGCCAGCCTGGGAACCAAAGGATGGCCAGTTCGATTCCCAATCATGGCACATGCCTATATTGGGGGCCAGGTCCCCGGGTCGGGGGCACATGAGAGGTATCCACACATTTGATGTTTCTCTCCCTCCCTTCCCCTCTCTCTAAAAATAAATACATACACAAATACATACATAAAAATCTTTAGAAAAAGAATAATTTTACAAAAGATATGGTAAATGTGTCACATTATCTTGAAATATGGGTGGAAAATTTTATATGATCTTATCAAATAATAAAAATAGAACAGATAAAGACTTATGAATAGAAAATTTGATTAAATTAAATGTTCTTTTTTAGTCTCTCACTTTTGGTAGAGAAACCATTTTATTTATGTATCTACATGTGCTTAAAAAGTCACATTATTTAGCACAGACAGTTTGTTACAAAATATATAATATATTTTATTGTATTATAATAAGTATAAATTTCTATTAGCTATAAAATTTAAGACAAAATGTTGAGATGGGAGTAGTGTATACATTTTGTTTTGTATATAAAATAAAATATATACATAAGTATATCACTCCCATTATATATATTTTTCAATGGGAGTAATATATTAAACTAAAATGAATGTAATTAGAAGTATCCAATTGAAGGGAGACTGGCAAATAATAATTTGATATACAAATAACTAGGCATAAACAAAGCTAGGAATTCACCCTCGGCTGGTGTTGCTCACTGGATTCAGCGATGGCCTATGAACCAAAGGGTCACTGGTTTGAGTCTCAGGGCACATGCCTGGGTTGTGGGCCAGGTTTCCAGTAGGGGGTGTGGGAGAGGCAACCACACAGTGATGTTTCTCTCCTCTTTCTCCCTCCTTCCCCTCCATAAATAAATAAATAAATAAATAAATAAATAAATACACACACACACACACACACACACACACACACACATATATATATATATAAATAAAAAGAAAAAACAAAGCCAGGAATTCAAACCAAAAGTAGATGCACCATCAGAAAGTGAGAACATTTTGATTGATTTTAATAATCAAATGAATATTGATTAGTAAAAGGGATGGGTTATATTCTGGAAATATAAAAAGTGGAGAAGAGGAAAGCAAATGGTGGGATCAGTGTGTTAGACCTCTCCATTACTGAGGACATCTAACTACCCACTATATGTAACCTAGAAATGACAAAATCCACATAACACTGAAGATGGTGTTTTATTTTACTAACAATCTTTATGTTCTTAGTAAGACAAATACCATATGATCTCACTTATAACTGGAATCTAATCAACAAAGCAAACAAGCATGCAAAATAGAACCAGAGACATCGAAATTAAGAACTGACAGTAACCAGAGGGGAGGTGGGAGGGATGATAATGGGGAAAAGGGGGAGGGGTTGTAAGGAACATGTATAAAGGACACCTGGACAAAGCCAAAGAGCATAGGGTCAAGGGTGGGGGCTGGGAATGGGTGGGGTGGGGGGCGAGCAGTGGGGGGAAAATGGAGACAACTGCCCTTGAACAACAATAAAAAAAGCTAAAGAGCAGCTCAACATTATTCTCCCACATTTTAACAACAACAACAAAAAGGGTAGAGCAGGAATCTTCCTTCCTTGATATTAAGTTTTACTATAGTTTTAAAATCCAGTACTTTTTACAGCACAGTGACACACTTAAGCACAGGTCAAACAACCCATAGAGCTTTGCAATTTAACAACCAACACCAAAATGACCTATCTCATCCTGTAAATTAACTATTGCCCAAATAACTACTCTAACATGATAGAAGTCATAAAATAAATATGCAACATAAAATGTTGGATAAAATCACTCATTTGGAAGCCACTGATTAAAATTATTTTCATGCTTTACTGCAACAAATTAAGTGATACAACCTATTTTTTAACTGCAAACACTAACACTTTCCAGCTTTCTACCCTATGCCTGTGACCTGGCGTATCTTTTCCAGGGACTGATAATGAAGCAGCACTTTTGCTCCTCACTATTGATGCTGTTGTTGGGGTGATCAGGCACATGATTAAAGCATTCTCCTAAAGATCAGTGTATAGTTGCTAAACTAAATAATGAGAACAAACAAAAAGGATTCAATTTGACACCTCACAAATAAATGGTAAGCACAAGCCCCCCCAAAAAAACACAACATGAAGTGCTGCCAACAACTTTCCTCACCAAAAAGTACAGGCAGTAAGAACAATACATTCATAATAGTGAACACTACCACCTGACCAGACTGCACTGTTAAGAAAGAGAGTACCTAAATAAAGGGACAAAGGCCCCAGGATACCACAACAGCACCAATGAAGGAATCTAGGTAATATACTTAACATAACCATACTCAACAGGTAAAGTCTCTACAGAGCAACTCACATATGGACAAAAAAGTTGTAAATGACAAAAAATTTTGCTAACAATAATACTGGTCAGACCATTGCCAAAAGCTCCAAGGGACCGACAGAATTCTTTGCTAAAATGAATCTTGTTGTAAATATATTGCTCCAATAAATGTTTATGCTCTTTAAGATCCCTGTGACAATGATTTTGACCCGAATCAATGAAGTGAAGAGTCTCCAGTAAGTGAATGGATTGGTATGAAACAAAAATCAATGATAATGTTTGACAGGGAAAAGTTACAGGGAAAGGTGTTAGAAAGAAACTACTTCAAGAAGTAATGATTGTGAAATTTTACATGTAATAATCAGCAAGAAAAACATGCACAAAGGATGAATGTGGGGTAATGCTATAAAGCAACAGAACAAAGCTTCGAGGTTCAAAATGTAGCCAGTAATTTAGAACTTCTAAATGAACATTGCTGAAATGTTTTAATGGAATCAAGTCCTCCAGTAGAAAACTCTCTTTCAATATCTGCCATGTAGTTTGCCAGCTTCATTGAAGCTCAGATGGCAGCAGACGATGGCAGATGATGTATTTCATTTAAAGATACGCAAGACCCCTTTGCTCAGATGATGGCAGAATTACGTATTCCATTTAAAGATAAGCTCTTCTGGCCTTGGCCAAACAAGTATGGCACCAAAGTACATTTTTAGTTAAAGAAGGGATATTTTGGCTTCTAACTTTAGGAATGACTTTTCAAGCAACTGAATGTTTACATACATATATCTCTTTTAAATCACTATTAAGGTTCCTATGTAAAAATAACTAACCACTTGATTTTCCTTCTACATGTTCAGCTTCTGTAAGTGAATGTAATTTGCTATATCTTCTATTCAGAGGTAAACATCCTGTTTTTTTTTTTCTGGAGATCAAAAGCAAAGGAATATTATTTTTTACAAACTATTTAAATATATTATTTGGGTAATGAGCCACTCCTTTCTTAAAATGTTTTCTATCCTCTCTGTACTTACCTATAAGCATTGAAATTTCAAGTATTATATAGAGATTCTACATCCCCAATCTTAAAACTAGTTTAAGTTATCTATAATGAAATATTGAACAACAATGAAGAATGTGAAAAAAAAAACCCACAATGAGATACCACTTCTCACTGGTCAGATTGGCCAACATAAACAAATCAACAAACAAATGATGGAGACGATGTGGAGAAAA